CTGCTGCTGCTGATCCTGCTGCTCCTGCTGCTGGTGGAGGGGGAGGCGGCGGAGCAGCAACAGCTCCGTTAGTATTAGCGTATGCACTGGATGGATGTCTAATACCTACAGCAGCAGCAGCAGCAGCAGGAGACGAAGAGACACAAGAAGAAGCAGAGATACTTCATGGGCAGGAAGCAAGATCTGCTGCAGTGTCAATATTAAAGTTCCGCATATCTCAGTTGCTGCAGCAGAAGCAGCAGAAGCGTCCTGAGTCCTTACGTACAGATCTATTAGAAGCAGCAGCAGCAGCAGATGCTGCTGCTGCTGCTGCTGTCAGCCCCAGCATCAATGGTTTTAAGTCGCGCTATCTTGCTGCTCTACAGATGGAGGTTGTATTAAACCTTCCTGAAGGACTATCTGCTTCAGAAGTGCTGCCCGTTGCAGCAGACATCCCTTGCATCCAAAAGGGCTTCAGAGACAGCAGCAAATATATTGAAGAGCCGCAGCAGCTGCTGCCGCACCACCAAGAGCGGCAGCAGGAACAGCAGCAAAACAACACCCAGCAGCAGCATCACGACCAACAGCAGCAGCAGATGCAGCAGATACAACAGCTGCAACAGCTCCTCATGCAGCATCATCTCATGCAGCAGCAACAACAACAACAGGACAAAGAGCACCAGCAGCAGCAGCAGCAGCAGCACCAGCAGCAGCAGCAGCAGCAGCAAGAAGACGAAGAAGAGGGTTTTTCAGATGGTGGTTCTGCTGCGCGTCGTCTAAAGAGTTGGGGGTTGACGGAGTTAAGCGGTAGAATAATAAAAGCAGCAGCAGCACGAGAAGCAGAAGCAGCAGCAGCACGAGAAGCAGAAGCAGCAGCAGCAGCAGCAACACCAACAGCAGAAGACCCTGTTGCATCAGCAGCGTCTGCAGCAGCAGGAACCTCCGACAGCAGCAACAGCAGCAGCAGCAACAACAACAACCCCACATCATCAAAACCACCACCACCACCAGCAACAGCAACAGCAACACAAACAGCAACACAAACAGCAACACAAACAGCAGCAGGAGCAGCAGGAGGAGATGAAGAAGAAGAGTGCGGCAGCAGCTGCGTGCCTCCTAACGACCCTAAGTACCGGGAGCAGTGGAGTCTGCACAAGAAGTCTGTATTCGGAGTGCATGCAGAAGAGACGTGGGGCTTCTGGAGCGGTATTCGGAGGCCCCTCATCGTCGCCGTCATCGACAGCGGCTGTTCTCTTCAACACCCCGACTTACACTCTAAACGGTGGTTCAACCCCGGAGAAGTCTGCGGGGACGGTATCGATAATGATAACAACGGATTCGTCGATGACTGCTTTGGCTGGGTATATATATTTATATATATATATTTATATTTATATATATATATATATATATTTATATATCTGTATTTATATTTATATATTTGTTTATATATATATGTGTATATATTTATGTATGTATGTATATGTATATGTATATGTATATATATATATATATACATATATATATACATATAAATAAATATATATATATATATATATATA